CCCCCACCCCCCCTCGCGCTGTGACGTCACCGCGCTGAGCTCAGCCGCTATTACCATACCACCTCATTTGCATTCCCTCATTTGCATGCGGCGCAGCCAATGGAACGCCGCGGCCGCGCCGTGACGTCACGCGGCGGCCACTCTATATAAGCCGTGCGCGCAGGCGGCGGCGCAGCAGAGCGAGCGGAGCCGCCGGGGGGTCGCGGGTGGCGCCGGGTCCCTGACAGATGAACGGGATAAACGGGATGAGGAACCGCGGCCCCCGCGCCGACATGGTGCCCGAGATCGCCGCCGCCGTGGGCTTCGTGTCCGGCCTGCTGCGGACGCGGGGCTGCGTCAGCGAGCAGCAGCTGCAGGTGTTCAGCGGGGCGCTGCGGGACGCGCTCACAGGTGAGCTCTGGGCGACGACGGGAGGAGCCCCACGCTCGTGGCCGGATTCTTCTGGGAGCCCTCGGAGCCAGGCGCCCACTGGAGTGCCGCCCCCACCCCTCCCCGTGAGCCTTCCAGGACCTGGTGTTCTTTTGAGTGCCCCCCATGAACCTTCCAGGACCTGGTGTTCCTTCGAGTGCCCCCCGTGAGCCTTTTAGGACCTTGGTGTTCTTTTGAGTGCCCCCCGTGAGCCTTCCAGGACCTTGGTGTTCCTTCGAGTGCCCCCCGTGAGCCTTCCAGGACCTTGGTGTTCTTTTGAGTGCCCTCCGTGAGCCTTCCAGGACTTTGGTGTTCTTTTGAGTGCCCTCCGTGAGCCTTCCAGGACCTTGGTGTTCCTTCGAGTGCCCCCCGTGAGCCTTTTAGGACCTTGGTGTTCTTTTGAGTGCCCTCCGTGAGCCTTCCAGGACTTTGGTGTTCCTTCGAGTGCCCCCCGTGAGCCTTTTAGGACCTTGGTGTTCTTTTGAGTGCCCTCCGTGGTGATGCGAGGACCTTTTGAGTGCTCTCTATGCTCCTTCCAGGACCTGATGGCCCTCCCGTCTTGGTCTTGGGACCTGGTGTCCCCTCCCGAGTGTCCCTTCCAGGACCTGGTGTCCCCTCCTTGATGCGTCCCGTGTCCCCTCCCGTCCCTGATGTCGCTCCCGGGACCTGCTGTCACTCCGTGTCCCCTCCCGAGTGCCCCTCGTGTCCCCTCCGGGACCCGATGTCGCTCCCGGATCCAGGTGTCCCCTGTGTCCCCTCCATGTCCGAGTGTCCCCTCCTGTGTGCCCCCCGTGTCCCCTCCGGGACCTGATGTCCTCCCCAGGGTGTCCCTTCATGTCCCATTCTTGATGTCCCTCCGTGTCCCCTCCAGGACCGGGTGTCCCTTCCGAGGTGTCCCTTGTGTCCCCTCCTTGCTGTTCCCCCATGTCCCCTCTGGGATCTGATATCCCCCCGTGTCCCCTCCAGGACTTGATGTCCCCCCAAGTCCCCTCCTTGCTGCCCCCC